CCCCCCCGGCAGCCCGGACTGTCACCGCAGATTAATGGTCTCCCCGACACCCCCGCCCCGCCGGTCCAGTGCCCAGCCAGCCAGAGTCAGACAGACACCCAGAGATGGAGCGACCGCCCGGCGACCAAAGAGCCAGGAGCACACGCTCACGCTGGCACGCACAGACCACAACACGACAGCACACGCTGTGGGCACAGGGGCAGGGCAGCCGGCAGGGCTCCAGGTGAGGACAAGAGAGAGGCAGAGGTGGGAGGGGGTGAGGGCGAGGCAGCCAGATACGGGGCCTAGGGTGGGGGAAACGTTCTGGAGTCAAGGCCAAGGGGCCGGAGACCTGGCAGGGACCCAGAGAGCCAAGGCGGCAGCGGAGCGGGGCCAGGAGGTGGGCTGAGGAGGCCCACAGCAGCGCGCGTATGGCTCCCTCACTCGGGCAGCTCAGGGAGCCCGAAGGAGCTGGAGGGGGCGGTGGGACTGAGGCGAGACAGGTGTGGCCCGGGAGCCCCCTCTGTCCCTGGCTTCTCAGTCCTGACCTTCCCCCACCCCACCCCCAGGCCAGGACGGGAAGGAGCTGGGATGGACTGGGCAGTGGGGGTGGTGCAGACGATCTTGCTGCCAAGAGGGGGCAGGAGACCAGGCTGGCCCTGCCACTGGGCAGTGTTGGGCAGTGCCCCCCAGGGCTGGCAATCTTCTCTGGTCTGGAGTTCGGGGACTTGACCCCTCTGGTATCTGTGCCCCCAACTCATACCCTCCCCTCCCGACTTGGGAAGAAAATCTCTCCTCTCCTGTGGTCTGGGGACAGGGGTGGGCACCTCTAGGCCACCACGGCCCTAGCACCGGGCTCCCACCCTCTGCCTGGCTCATCTCATTGGCCTAGAAGAATCAGGACCCCCAACCTTGACCTCTGTAGCCCCTTCTAACGTGAAACCTCCCGTTGGTTTGCCCCCAGGACTCTGTTTTGCTCCGCGGCCACCTTCTCCCACCCACCCTCACCCTGCCAGGTGCCTGGCCTCAACTGCCCTGTCCTCCCTGAGCCCCATCCACCTGTCCTCTGTATCTGCCCCTCCCATGGGCACCCCCCCTCCAGTCTCCCTTGCTCCAGGATCTCTCTTGTCCCAGCTCTGAAACGCCACCCTCACCCCCAGCCGGCACATCCGCCACCTTCAGGAGGCCCTCACTGACTGCACCCCTCCACCCCACCTTTGACCACAGTCCACTCCCACTCCACTCCCTCCAAGCTCCTCCCACATGAGCGGAGAACCAGCGAGCTGGACACCTACCTGGGTGACCTTCTCAGTGACATTATGGGTCCGCTCCTTTATCTTGGGGGCTATGATCTCCCGGTCGCTGGTGGGCGAAGCCAGGAAGGGGTCGCCCTTGAGGTCCACGAAGTTGAGGGTGATTTGGGGAATCTTGCTAATGGTGCGGTAGCGCACGAGGTCCGAATCTGATGTGGAGTTAAGCAGGCCGCTGCGCAGGGGGTGCATGGCCCCTGGGGTGGAGGGGAAAGGGGGTCAGGGTGGCAGGCAGGCAGGGGCAAAGGCCGTCAGGTCGACGACACAGAGCTGAGGTGGAGACGGGCCCTGCAGGAGCCAGGCCGTGGGGTTCACTGAGGCCAGCTCAGGGAACAGGAGTGGAGTCCCTGAGAAACAAGTGAGGGCTGACCCCTCCCCACCGTAAGGAAGAGCGCCTGATGCAGCTGTGAGATGACGAAGGGGAAAGAGCCTCCATACGGGTCTGTTCAGCGGAGGCACTGGGAGCCTGCCAGAGGCCCAGGTGGTGGCAGGGACCCAGATGCCTCTCCCGCCTTCCCGACTCCCGTGGGCATCCCCGCTCCAGGCCAGCCTGGGAGAGCCAGCTCCTCGGGGCCAGCACCGGCTCTGAGAGTGGAAGAATGCAACGGGATGAATGCACGTTTAATGGAATAAAAGGCTACTTAATGGGATTAAGTAAGCGCTTAATAGGATTTCCATCTCCCAGGCACACAGGACAGGGCGGAGAGGGAGGAAGCTGAGGGCCTGGGATGGACGGGCCCGTGGGTGAGGACGCGGCCGGGCAGTTCCTGCAGGGGTGGGGCCGACCCTCACCGGTGCTGGCGTGGCGCGGCGGCGGGGGCAGCACCCCAGCGCGCATGGCCTCGATGTCGTCGGCCGATGAGGCGCGGCGCACGCTGGCGCAGCTCTCTCGGGAGCGCGTCCGGGCCAGGCTGCAGCTGGAGCCCGAGGCGTCAGGGTTGAGGCTGTGCGCCCGGGGCGACGGGTGCGGGCCTGGCGCGCAGGCGGGCGGCGAGCCGGGGCCCACCAGCGCGCGCCGCTCCTCCACCGGCCCGAGCCCCACCACGTGGTTGTCCATGGCCGTCACCTCGTCCAGGGCCAGCGACTCGCTGCTGGGCGCCGCGGGCGTCAGGTCCACGTCCACCACCACGGCCCCCGGGGCACCGGCGCCGCCTGTGCTACCCGGCCGCACCGACGAATCCCGGGCGGTCAAGGCCAGCAGCGCGGGCAGCTTCAAGCGGAAGGTCTTGGCGTGACCTGCGGGGAGTGGGGAGGTGCGTGGCGCCAGCAGCCCGGGAGGGGGCCAGGCCTAGCAGCTGGAGCCCAGTCACCAAGGGGAGGACAGAGGGAAAGTGGGAGCCCCGAGAGCCGCCGGCACTCCTCCACCCCTATTCCTACTGCACAGAACTCAAGTTTCCAGAAAAAGTCTAGAATGCAATCGTATCTAAGACTCCGCCAATAATAAACCACCATTTCTTGAGCCTCACATCACTGGTAGTCTCTACATAAACCACCTGTGGCTCTCACAACTGCACCCAGTGGGTATCATTACCTCCATTTTAGACTTGAGGAAATTTAGGTGTCAGTGAGTTATGTGATTTGCTGGAGGTCACACAGTAAATGGCAGGGCCTGCATCCAGATGGAGGAGTGATGCCACGGGTTCCCGCCGCACCTGCCACCTTGGAGGTGGCACCCAGGGAGTAGGTAGGGCCAGTGTTACTAATGCTGCCACTTTAGAGCTTGAGAAACCAAGAGGTGGTTTCTTTTGCCATGACTCTGAGGGAACATTTAAAATTAAACCCAAATGGGGCTTTCCTGGTGGCGCAGTGGTTGAGAGTCCGCCTGCCGATGCAGGGGACGCGGGTTCATGCCCCGGTCCGGGAAGATCCCACATGCCGCGGAGCGGCTGGGCCCGTGAGCCATGGCCGCTGAGCCTGCGTGTCCGGAGCCTGTGCTCCGCAACGGGAGAGGCCACAACAGTGAGAGGCCCGCGTACCGGGAAAAAAAAAAAAAAATTAAACCCAAAAAGGCCACGCAGGGGGAGGAGGAGGTGTCTGAGCCTTTGAGTCATGGGAGGATGAAGTGAGGCCTCCACGCCTCCAGCCACAGGGAGCAGTCCCCTCACATCCTCTTCTCAAGTAGCCAAGGCCACGGCAGGGAGCTGGCCCGTCCGGGAACAAGGGCCAGAGAGAGGAACTTCACAGAGTTGAGTCTGTGAGAGACGGAGCCTTCTCATGAGCAGAGGGGGCTGCCCCGAAGTGGCCAGGGCCATCTGGGAAGGGTGAATCCCCCATCCCTGGGGCTGGAGAGAGGACCACTCCCAGGGGATGCTGTGGTGGGACCCCAAGCGGGTAAGGCTATGAAACCAGCCATGATCCTGCCCCAGGGAGCTGTGAATCTGGGCTCAGTCACTCTACCGCATCTGTCCATGCTGAGCTGGAGGGGACCGGCCGTGTCCTCCATGTTCTCTCCCCCATCGCTGAAAGGATCCCCTCCGCATCCCTTCCTACGGAGCATTGCCCTCGGGCGGCCTCACAGCCCCAGGGAAGGGGAACCTGCGCCAGCCCAAGAGCACAGCTGCACTTACCGGGGGCCAGCCAGCTGGTGGGAGGGGCACGGTGATTGGTGTCACGGTCTGGGGACCCCACCATGCCCTTCTCCATCACCACCTCAAAGTTAAGGATGAACATGATGACAGCCCCATCTTCGTTCTTCACGGGTACCACATCCACCAGGCACAGGAAGCAGCTCCCTGCAGAGCGGAGACACGGCCACTGTGGTACCAGGTGGAACGGGCCCCCGAAACCTGGAGGGGCCTGTCCACTTCTGCCCCCCCCCACGGCTCCCACACACAGTCCTGCCCCTTCTCGCCATCGCCTCCTGCCCCACCCCCTCCTCCTGCCACATGCCGGCCACAGCTTGTTCCGTCATCCGGCTGCTCCAGCTTTCCGCTTTCAAAGCTCTCCCTTTCTCTCTCTGCTTGCCTTGGTTCTCCAGCCCTCTCTCCTGATGTGCGTTCTCCTCACACTGCCTTCTGCTCCTTTCTTCCTGGGTTGTTTCACCGTTTTCCCTATCCTCTCCCGCTCTGTCTTTGCTCTTCCTCACGCAAGGTAGTGCAGCCTGGAGGTTCAGCCCACAGACTTTAAGCCCAGGATCTCAGGGTTCAGATCCCAGCTCTGCTGCCTTGTCATTGATGCATTTTTCTTACGTTTTGAAGCTCCCTGTGCCTCATTTTCCTCATCTATAAAATAGGAACGATAATAATTCATTCCTCATGAGTTGTAGAGATTAAATAAGTCAACACGTGCCAGCTGCCTAGGGCAGTGCCTGGCGTGCGCCGAACACTAGAGACAGGTTAGCGATCGCCCTCTGTCCCTCTGTCTGTCTTTGCTCCTCTTCGTTCGTACCCAACTGTTGTGTCATCCACAAGAAGATAAGTTCGGAAGTTGAGAGCAAGAGCTTCAAAACCTTTACAGCAATTTGGCATTGCCGCAATATCCTAGCATGTGATTTTTGTATTTCACACAAGTATTGGTCTGTGACACGTTAGAAACAAAACTGATCCTTCACCAGAGTTGAGAGGCGCTGCTCCTAGATCTTTCATCTGTCTCTCGTCTTCTTCTCTGTTCTTGGTTTTTTTTTCCCCCTCCCAATGTCTCTCTCTGGCCACCAGGCCCCCTATTCCAGCTGCTGTCAGTTCACCAGGCCAATGTACCTGTTCTGCCTCTGCCTTTGACCAGCGCGCGGCCCCCACACCCTCCTCTCTGCTGATTTCTGAAAGAGACCCCAGTGCGCTCTCAGGCTCTGCCTAAGGCCCACCTCAGAACCCCCACCTCCAGGAAGCCCTCCTTGATGCAACAAGAAGGCACGTTAACATCCTGTTCCTCCTACTCCATGGACCTGATGGGGACCAAGCATGTTCCTCATCTTCTCTTCCCGGGGCAGAGTCTTCTTTCCTGGTGCTCATCTGTCTTCTCTCAACTGCCGGGTCCTAACTCACCAGCGTCTGTGTCCCCTCTGAAGAGCCTAGCACCCAGAACAACGCACCAGGGAGCAGGCACCGGCCAGTGGTGTTGGTGACGGGGTGGGGCTAACAGTGGGGGAGGAGTCAAGGATCAGGACTGGTGGAGGACGTGGCTGGGGTGAACTGAGTCAAGGCCAACAAGCTGGAGGGGCCGACGGCCGATGAGCCCTGTGGGCCAGCCCTGGGAAGTGCAGCCGCAACTTCTCCACAGACCTGAGAAGGCCAGGCGTAAAGGGCCTGACTACTAGGAGATGCTGGCCGGGCTCCAGGGCGATTGCTATAGGGACAGGGCCGAGAGGGAGCGGCAGGGGAGCAATTCTAACTGCTGTGGGATTAATCTGGTGGAAGGAGATCCTCTGAAACCAAAGGAAACAGGATGGCACCGGGATGAGGGGACCTGGGCCAGGGCAGGGGCTGGCCAAGAATTCTCTGCTTTACCCCAAAGCCCTTCCACTCACCGCGTCCCAGGCCTCATGGCTTGGCCCATGGGACCTGAGCTGGGGGGTTCTTTCAGGGTCTCTTTCCAGTAGCTGCTCCTGTCCCCTGACCTCCAGCCTCTGACATGGCCTGGCTGAAACACTGCCGTGGTGTTGGGAGATGCAGGAGGCCGGGCCCAGCTGGAGACCGTCTGGCACCTAGACAGCCCGCCTAGAGTTTATGCCCTAATATGGTGATGGCCGGCAGCAGCCTGAACAGGGACCGGCCCCCATAGGGACTAAGGAGAGGCCAGAGACCAGGAAACTGTAGCCCTGGAGACCCCTGCCCCAACACCCACCCCCTGGGAGCCCAGCGATCTTGGCCCCTGGTCTTGGTTCCTCGCTGGGAAACTGATCTCACCTAAGTCCAGAGTCTGGAACCCTGATGAGCCCAACCCTGCAGGATGGCCTGGGGATCCTGCCCCCAGGGCACGGCCTCAGGATTCTGAACTTGAGGCCTCAACACCCCGTGCCCACTTCAGTTCCAGCTTCTCAGCAAGAGAGGCCAGAACTGCATTCTGCAGCCTGGACAGCCCAGGACCCTGACATCCCAAATTGCGCCCCCCTTCACACCAGGCCGCAGAAACTCCAGATATAAGCCCCCTTACAGCACAGGCCCACTCCCGGCCCTTGGACACAGACACACACTCACATACGGAGCCCCCTTGGTCCTCTCCCTTTGTCGACATTCAAGGAATTTTCCCTTTCAAATAACCCTGTAAAAGCCCTTGTTATTCCGAAAATGTGAACTGGAGCCCTGCCTGATGGCTGGGGGGAGGCGGGGTGTTAGGATCCAGCTATTTTCGAGGGGACACGGAAGGAAGGAAAGCGTGTAGCCCCAGGTCAGCCAGGGCTCCGAGAGGCTCTGCCTCCCGCCCATCCTGCCTGGCTGGCTGGGTCTTCCGTGAGCTGCCGTATCACCCACCCCTAGCTCTTCAGCCAGACCTGCCAGGGGACCCCATCCCATCACTGGCTGGAATTCTGGTGGGTGGGGTCCCTGAGGGCAGCTGAAGGTCAGCAGGCCAGGGGTGGGGCACAGGGACAGCCAGAACTGAGCAGCGGCACAAAGCCCGTCGCAGCCTGCAGGCGGCGGGCCTGTGACCTTCACGCAACTTCTCAGCAGAGAAGAAATGTTCAGAGTCAGTGTCTGGGCCGCCTCCCCGGAGCCCTGGGCTGGCACCGCACGCCGGGACCAGGGCCTCGCCCCCCCATGAGCCCTGCTCCTACGTACCCCAGACCCCGCTCATCCCTCTGTCCGTCTCCTCCCTCCGCCCCGCCCCATCCCCCCAGAGCAGCTCCACGGAGCAGAGGCTGACTTGAGCCCAGAGCTGGGGGAGGCTGCAGTTCCGCCGAGAGCCGCTCTGTGGCAGGAGCGGCCCGCGCTCCCGAGACAGCCGGAGTCTGGAGCGCCCGGGGAGGGAGGGAACGGACTGGAAGGGATCAAACTGGAGGGGGGCGGAGGGCCCCTGCCCTGCCCACAGAACGGCGCGAAAGGGTGGGGCACAGGCTATGGAGTTTAGCGGCCTTTGCTCATTGCATCGGAATGACTTTGGGCGAGTCACCTGCCTGCCTCCAGCCCCAGGGAGCTCATCTGCAATACAGGACGATGACCATGCCCCACTGGGCTGGAGGGATGAATGACAGAACACTGTGAAGCGGGAGGGCCCAAGGGAGGTTTTTTTGTTTGTTTTTGCTTCTGTTTATTTGTGGGGTTTTCTTCTGCCACGCTGCGAGCAGCTTTTGGGATCGTAGTTTCCCCGACCAGGGACTGAACCTGCGCTCCCTGCAATGGAAGCGCGGAGTCTTAACAACTGCACCGCCAGGGAAGTCCCCCAAGGGACATCTTGGTAACTGGAGAAGGAGGGGAGGGCGAGGGCCCTTGGGCCAGCCTGACTCACGTGGCCGGTGCTGAAGAACACCTGACTCACACCCCCACCCCCACCCCCCGACCCCAGCCCCAGCTGAAGACATCCGGGCACCCAGCCTCTGCCTGCCTCCTGGGCTTGGGGCACCCTGGGCCCTGTGAGAAAGAAGACCGGGAGAGGAGAGGTAGTCATGGATTGACAGCCCCACACAAGGACAGGCTCCTCTGCGCCTCGGATCCTAAGGGCCGCAGAGGTCATGCAGCTCACCACAGGCCACTGAGGAAGGGGCAGGGGGGCAGTGCGAGGGCCCCAGGGGACCAGGTCTGGCTACCTTCCAGGTGCAGCAGGTCCAGTTCCTTCTGACCCCGGGGAAGGGAGCCATCTTCATCAGAACGCAACGCTGGCTTGCTTTCACCTGGTGCCAACCCACACCCGACAGTGCCCCTGGGCACCGTCCCTGCCCTGCATCCCAACCCATCCAGGGTCCCAAACCCAACTGCCCACCTCTGGGAACCCCTGGCTGGTCTCCAGGCAGGAGCCGCCGTCGGCTTTCGCGGGGGCAGGCCTTATCTCTTGGGGCAGCACCGGGCAGGTGGGGAAAGGGAGGCCTGCGGGTGACCTGAGTGTCCTTGGACAAGCGCCCCAGGTCAGAATCTCTAGTGGCTCGTCTGCATACTAGGTGTCATCAAGCTCCTTCGCAGGTGGCTCTTCATCCCCCTGGAGTATTCACTGAGCACACGCACGTGAAGCGTTCAGGGCCTCATGAACAAGACAGGCGTAGCACCCACCCTCACTGAGCCGGGGAGTCAACAGGACCCCCAGTTTGGAGTCTGGGATGAGTTGACAGAAAGAGGGGTCCTGGGGAGCTGAGCCGAGCTGATGTGCCCCGACCCTCAGGAGACCTGGGCAATCGCTGTGTGACTGTGGGCAGGTCAGCCACCTCTCTGAGCTTCAGACTCCCTGTGGGTACTGCAGGGACAAGTGACTCGTACTCTGGGTGCCAGATGAGATGATAGATGGCCTTGTGGAAGCGTTCAGAGCTGTAACGAGGCAGGGTGCCGGGTCCTTGCAGGGAAGGTGACCTCGGGGAAGCAGCCATCCTCGCCCTGGTCGCTGTCCTGCCCTGCTGGGGCAGGAGGCTGGGGCTCCAGTCGGCCTGTCCGCCCCCAGGCAGAGGCTGTCTCCGAGGATGGCGGCCCAGGGCTGTGCAGTGTCAGGTTATATTTAGCCTGGTGGCGGCGACAAGGAAGATGCAGCAGGAGCTGCTCCTGGCCAGGGGCCACCGTGTCGCTAACGTCGCTCTCTTGGGCAGTGGGGGCCTAAGGAAGGCCAGGGACACTACAGGCCCAGGGGACAGAGCGGGGGAGCCTGAGAGGCCAGCCAGCGA